TTCCTCCTCTCCTTCTTCTTCCTCTTCCACTTCTTCCACTTTTGCTTCTCCTCCTCCTCCACCTCCTCCTCCTCGTCTTCTCCTTCTCTTCCTCCTCCTCTTTTTCCCCTTCCTCCTCTCCTTCTTCTTTCACTTTTGCTTCTTCTCCTTCTCCTCCTTTTCAACCATTGCAGAAATATCTGCATTTCTCTCTCTCCTCCTTCCAGCGAAATGGACAAGTTTGCCTTAGAACGCGACCCCGGCCAGCCAGCCAGCCAACCTCTCCACCACCCCCATACCCCCACTGCCTTTGCGTTGACTAACCAAACTTAGCCCCACTGCTTGGTCTCTCCTTCGGGCAGCAAAGTGCCTCGAACCCTTCCCCTGTTCAAAGGAACAGCACGGATGCCGGGGTGGGGGGGGGGGAGAGAGAAAAGAAACCCCCCACCCTACCTGAGAATACGCTCCACCACAGAGAAGGCTAATGGCCGAGAGCCTCCTCTTTCCCACAAAGTCTGTTTGGAAGAGTCGACCGCACGTATCATTTCTCTCCCTGCCGCCGTTCCCCCGCTCACCCATTTTCCCTTTGTAAACCCCCGCAACCTTCTCCCTACACCTTCAAACATTTGGGGCGTCCCCACCTCTTGAGCCCAGAAAGCATTCTTTGCTCTTATTCCATTTTTCGGGAAGGGGAAAAAAAAAAGGCAAAGAGAAATGGAAGAGCCAGGCTCCGCCTGCGTGTTAATTCAAAGCACAGGGTATTTTAAAACAGCACGCCCCGCAAGTAGGAGCAGCCTTTCAAATTTTACTTTCTGGCCGCCACCGGCGGCCTGGGAAATCCCATCGGCCAGAGCATAATAGTAGCGGGGGAGTATCTTTTCTTTTCTTTTCTTTTTTTTTAAAAAAAACCCTTTTGTTTGCCGTTCTACAGCGAAGGAGGAAAATGGTTTTTGCATCGACTTCTTTGCCTTCTGCCTCGTCCCTTGTTTTCCTTTGTTGCTTCTGGGCTGATTCCGGCAGAGGGTCGGGTCTCTCCCCATCCTCACTTCAGAGCTGCGTCTAGGGAGAGTCTCCATCCTTCAGGCTGTGGTTGTCCCAAAGGTGCTTTTTTAAAATTTTTATTTTTAAGAGGCAATTGTCCTTCCTGGGTTTTTCTTTGGGAAACGTTTTGCTTCTCCTCCAAGGAGCTTCGGACCGGATGGTAAGGAAAGGTTTATACTCTTTGCAGGCAGCTGGTCATTTGCATCCTTTGAGATGGTCGTTGAGGCCACTTGGAGGTTTGTCTGTATCCTGAGGGTCACCTGATTATGGGCGTGGTGCCTTTTAGCCCTTCCAAGAAGCCTCCACACCCATTTACACTACTTAGGGACAGCCATTTGTCTGGAATGGTAGAGGCTCTCCAGCTTGACCACGGAGGCCTTCTAGTCTACCCCCTTGCACAAGCAGGAGACCACACACCATCCCAGACCAGTGGCTGTCCAGTCTCTCCTTAAACGCCTCCAGTGATGGAGCTACCCACAACTTCTGGTGGCAAAGCTATTCCACTGGTTGATTGGAAGTTTGGAAGTTTCTCCTTAATTCCAGGTTGGCTTCTTTTCCTTGATGAGTTTCCATTCATTGTTTCTTGCCTCGCCTTCTGGTGCTTTGGAAAATAGCTCGACACCGTCCCCCTTCCTTCTTTGTGGCAGCCCCTCAAAGGAGAGGAGGTCAGCCTAAGGGGTGGCGGTGGTGGACTAGACGACCTCTGAAGCCCCTTCCAACCCTGTTCTTCTCTTCCCCGAGAGCTGTTGCCGTTTGCCGAAAAACTTCCAGACGAGCCAACAGCTGTTGAAGCTCCCTCTCTTTGCTTCCTTTTCCCCCTCTCTCTTTGCCCCCGCCCCCCGAACAACACACACACACACACACACACACACACACAACCACACGCTTCTCGGAGGATTGTTTTGGAAATACTTCCGAGAGAGTCTGTAATAATCCTGCATGCACTCCTGCCTCCCGGGAGCCGCGAGGCGTGAGGAGGAGGGACCTGCTCCCAATCCAGCTAAATTGCTATTGACTTGTGTTCTGCGCGCTCCACAAACATTTCACTCAGCCGTTCCCAACAGCGCCGGGCGATCTCCTGCCAGGGGTGAGGCCAGCTGCGCTGGGGTGCGTCTTCCTGCTCTTCCCCATCGATCAAAGAATTAAACTGACAGAAGGAAAATGCTCTCACCCACTGACCGACCTGGAATGGCGGGGGGGGGGGAGCAAACTCAGAGGCAGAGCCAACCTGGGAGGGTCATGAGAAGCATAATGAAGAGACCTCTGTCTGTCTCTTGCACCAATGTGGATGGATAACAGTTGGGTTTCTCTCCCTCCCTCTCCCTTCTCTCTCTTTCCTCTCAATCTCCCTCCTTCCCTCTGTCCCTCTCTCTCCTCTCTCTTCTTTCTCTTTCCTCTCTTCTCTCTTTCTTCTCTCTCTTTCCTCTCTCAATCACTCTCTCTTTCCTCTCAAATCTCTCCCTCCTTCCTTTCCTG